CAAAATTCCAACATTTTCAGGGACTATTACGAAATTAGTGCTCTCATCTCGGTGTTTAAGAACGATATGGTCGCTTTTGACGATGCTATCCCTCGCGTAAGTTTTATTAAATATTTGTCATTATCTTTGACGCAGTCAGAAACCCTTTTGAATTTCGTTTACATTCATAAGTTCACATACGTTTTCAGTACTAATTTTTTATTGCTTCTTTATTTACCTTCCTTTCTTGTCTTTTCTATTGCAAATTGGTTTCAAAATCTCATCGTAAATATTGTGTCGAGTGTGGGTTCTCAGCGTACAGTTGTCTGCATTTGCAAATATTTGAAATCACATTTTGCAAATTTGTATGTCACAGTTGATTTCAGGTGTTGTCCTTTTATGATCAATGTCCGTCTGCTGCTGAAAACAAGTATCTTATGGTCGGCCTGAATCTCATGTTTCTCCTAGCAAGTAATCGTCTATCTGACTTCCATATGGTTAGTTACTCTCAAAAGTTGTTCGTTTTAGAATATTTTTTGCTTGTTTTATGAAATTATATAGAGCGTTTGTGAGTACTGAAAGAATCTTTCGGTTTACATTTAACTGTGATGGATATGTTATTTAGCAAGAGTTTCACCACTATACTCGGGCTTGTTTGCGAATTTTTATTTTTCCTTCTTCTGACTCTTCGTCATTCGAATACAGATCCACTCGCAAAGTTCCTACCAGTTTTAGGAGAGAATATGTGGTCATTTCAGTGATTAGCAGGCTTTTCGACGACTCAGTATGATACTCGCATTAGTGTGCAAGGATTGCTGCAATTATACTCACGCCAAAGACCTTTATTTGTTTGCTTTTTGACACCACTATTGTACATTACAGCTGCTGGAATCAGTACCTCAGCATATACAGACGAGTAACCCTTACATTTCTACACCAGTACGCCTCGAACAGTCTTTGATGGAGGGAGCGTACAATAAGGTTTACAAAGATGTCAGAATTTGAAATATTGTAATGAGGCTTTTTCTGTCTAGTCTTACTTCAGGTCATACTCACGGAGAAGACTATCCCTAGCCAATATTACAGCACATTCATCAGGATCATGATGGATGCAGTCAGGTATTCTTTGAATAACGGCTAGTTACACTTCGAACCAATTCGAACTTCCTAATATCATAAGGTTTTACTTCCATTACCTCGGGCATGTTTGATCAATGATTTCCTTTTCTTATCAATGCGAACTTTCAAATGCGTAGTATTCTCATCTAGTAAAAACCTTCCTACAAGAGAACGGGTAAGAAGATTCGTATGTCAAATGCATTTGGGACCTTGATCTCAGATCTGTCGAGCGAGCTATGAAAAAAACCTGAAATTATGTGCAAGAGGTTATTTTTGAATAGGTTAGGGATATAGCCTAGAGAAGTATTGCATCATTAATTTGAATTGTGTTTTTTCATCAAGCAGTGACAGGACGTACTCGCAATTTTTTGTGAGGAGAAACCTCCATGCCTTCTTTCCAGAAAGCCGCTCAGCAGGGAGGGGATGCAGATTGAAATCAACGCTCGAAAGCAAATCTAATGATGTACAACTCTTTTTGATTTGGCGATGTCATTTACTATTCAAATAATCACCTCCCTTAAAAATTGCAGGGGAATGGGGGTAGGCTCAAGATAAATTTTTATATACTGTTCGCGCTAAGTTACTTCTTCATTTACTTTACATATGTGGAAGGCCGAATAATTTTTCGGCCTCCCACATATGCTTCATTCAAAAGATGTTTTTTTAGATCTTGGAAGATAAACAGTTAGCAAGCTCTTGTAAAACTGTTTCTTTTGTATCGTAGTTTGATCCTAAAATTCTCCAACAGGATCGATATCTATTCTTTCCACACACTTCTATTCTATCTTACTTATTTGAAGATATTTCTGATGTATATTCCTAATATCAGTTTTTTATGCATGGAAAGATCTTTTGAAACATTAAGTAGTTTCTTATTCTTAAGAAAAGTACGAATTTCAGAAGCGATATTGCCGTTTCCATCGAAAAATCGTTCAAATTACTGAGCACTCGAGATGCGGC